TTGCGGGTTTTGGGGTTTAGGGTTTCGGGTTTAGGTTTTAGGGTTGTGGGTTTTAGGGTTTAAGGTTTAGGGTTGTTGTAGTCTTCCTGGCTTTTCTTTTGGACCAGGGTTTAATGGCTCGTTTGGTTGTTGATATGCCTGCTTCTGCAGCTTTTTTGTTTAGTTCAGGTCCTGCAGGAGTTCAGGTTTAGGGGTTTAAGGGCTTAGGGGGTTTAGAAAGTTTAGATTGGGCTTTCGTGTGAAAGGGCTTGGATAAGTATGTGCCAAGACCGAAACCGATCTTTTTCGGTTGCCCTGCTCAGTTCAGTGCGGTTGGAGATAGGTTTTAGGGTTGAGGGTTCACGGGTTTATGGTTTAGGGAGGGTTTAGGGCTATTTTGTGTGTTTCTTTTTGCTGGCCTTATGTGTAAGGTGCCTGCAGATGCATAGATCTGCTTCTACCCCTTGCTAACCGAGTACTCCGATCCTTCGCGAAAGACCCTCTGCCCCAGCGGCAGGTGGCCAACCTGGTCGGGAGATACTGCGCCGTCGCTTTCCGGAAGGAGGTCCTTCAGAGCCCTCCTGAGTCCTAGGCCCCCAAGTCCTAACTCTACGCTCCCAACCCTGAACCCTGAACCTTGGCAGCTAAAACCAACAATCTGGGACGGAAAATCCTAAACCCATGAGGTTTGTGTGTATTGCGGTTTACTCGGGTCATGCTTTGCCTTGCAGCACTTCCGGTGTGAATCAAGGAATCAAGGGCTTAAGGCCTCGTGCCCCCTTTTTGTTTTGGGGATTGCGGGGCCGTACGGGTCACTTGACCCCTCAATCCCAGACCATTGATTGTTTTCAAAATTAGAGTCAGAGGTATCCCACTTAGGGGAGCAAGGGTTCCGCTCTTTAAGGTACATGCCAGGGCCCGAAACCAAGCCCGAAACCCACAAGCAGCTTCGGTTTTCAATGGTACAGGGTTCCCGACCAACTAGCAACAAGAACTAACGGGCAAACTGACTACTTACCTGGCTAGCTACAATTGCTACCTACCTACCTGCCTCCTATTTACCTGCCTCCATAACTAAGTAACTAACTGGTTACCTAGCTAATTACAGAATTAGCTAACTACCTAACTAATTACTTAACAAACTACTTAACTAACCACCGAACTACCTAACGAACTAACTAACTAACCAACTAACAACCTAACTGACTACCAAACTAACTAACTAACTAACTCACTCACTCACTCACTCACTCACTCACTAACTAACTAACTAACTAACTAACTGACTAACTGACTAACTGACTAACTGACTAACTGACTAACTAACTAACTAACTAACTAACTAGCTAACTAACTAACGAACGAACGAACG